TTCAGTGGAACTTACATGTTAACATGTAATGTACTGTAGAAGTCCAGTTTCAGTTTTTCCTCTTTCATCATATATACAATACTTTCTTGGCTGCAGTATTGTTATTTAACACTGTGTTACCTTTTCGTGTTATTTCTGGTAGGCCAAGCTCAGCCCACAATACATCCACCGATCATGACACTCGTCCATATCAGCTGACAGTCCAGCTAAGAACCTTCTACACATCCAACTGGCTAATGGGGCTTCAGCTACTTGTCAACAATACAAGAACTTTTATTATCCCCAAAGGGAAATTCAGCTATCTGTGTACATCTAGTCAGGTGAGAGGAGAGGGTGAAATGGTTGAAGTTTCCTGATATTATAACAAATGCCTCAAAGATGTTGAGTCTGTATCCTGTCAACAGTATCATGGGGATCATCACAAGGAACTTCAGCTGTTGCCTTGTTATATAGTCAACAGTTCAATATCTGGACGTATTAAATCTAGACATATTAAACCCTTCACAATATGTGTAAAGGGTTACACCATCCTGGGTTAACAAATGAAGCCAGACCTCCTTTTTTTGTTGCCACTTGCTTGAGAATCTCTGCCTATTCTTATGAGAGTCAAGCCAGCTAGTTCCACACTGGAGTCCAAGCAGTTTTGATTCAACCAGGTTTCAGTAAAACAAAATGATGCTTTTGTTGTGCAGAGAGTTGATGTTTAGGGGATCTTTCTCTGCCTAACAGGAATGAAAAATCGTATTAACTGGAGGAAAGATTTCTTTTGATCGAGGGTTTTATTTGTTATGACCCTTATTTTGTCTCAGATTTCTGTGAAAGCTAAAACACACTTCAGCATGTTTAAGCATGGTTTCCATACACTACAACTGTGTAATATTTCTGTGCACATCAGCAGGCTTAAGAGTAAATATCATGCGGTAAAATATTCCAAATGAAACCTCATGAGAATGAAAGTCTTTTTCTGCTCAAGCTGTTTCCTCTTTGCATGTCGCTGCAGTGTGTTCATGCAGCAGAAAACACCCTGTGAAGTTCAACATACCCCGCAGATGAAGCAAGTTCTCGAGCTTTGAAGATAGTTCAACATATGGGATTACGGGCTTCTACAGTCTGGTGTGTCAAAAATCCCTGACGGCATTTTACTGTAGTTCCTATAGCACTTGCTGACCCACATTCTCCATCGAATCTTTAAAGATTGGAGTTTCACTGATGCACCTGAGTGTCTTGATGATGTGGAGTTACCTTCAAAGTAAACAGAACTTTCTGGCACAAAAGTACTGTGTTTTATAGAGAAAGCAACTCAAGCAAAAAGAATAAAAATCTGACACTCTGATGGAGCGCTGACCAAGAAAGCAGGCGCCTTTATGGTGCATTCAGCCCTGGGACCAGACAAACTACATCAAATGCCAGGTTCACCCAGGGGCCATCGTCTGCCAGACAGATATTCTTCATCCAAGGGCAGCTTGACAGCAACCCTGCCTGCATGGCTATTTACATCTTCTTAGCTATAGCTTTTTTAAAACTACATAAATGTGGCAGCTTCAAAGAGCAGCAGCACTTTCTATAGGGGGACACGCCAGACAAGTTCAGTGCACATTCGCCCCTGAGAATAGAGGCATTTTGATGTGGCCACCTCCCTGCGGTATTAGTGAAAAGTCAACTTTGATAAAAGGCAAGCATCATCCAGATTTACTGGGGCCTCGCCTCCAGACACCTTCAGTGGGTTCCCTTACCATTTTCAATCTCACGCTCTTGTAACCCTTGAATCCAGAGCGGTGTTCCTGGACTTGAGAGTCGACGTATCAAGAGATGCTGAGATTTCCATTTTGTTGCTAAATGCACTTCACAATGCAGCCAAGCCTGTAATCATCTCCTGGAGAAACAGTGGATGCTATATGGTAACATTTCTTTAACAGCTTATTGAAGCTCTCTTCGATTGCTTTAAGATGTTTTGCTCAATCAGACCGTGACCTGCTGTTTTTCCTGTCTGCTTCTTACCGTCCATTCAGACTGGAGCTGTGTTAAGCAGCTACTTTTTCAGGCTGTGAAGTGCTTTTATGTGTAATATAAAGAAAAGAAAATCACACCTTGTTTCGAATCAAGCATAGAACCAGCATTTAATCACTTATATTTGACACATGCTAACAACTGAGCATTTCATCTGACGTATTTAAGCTCCAGCGGCGAGTTTTTGACCGTTTATAAACCAGACAGAAATCAACAGTGATGTCTTTGTGTGAACTACAAAAGTGAAAAAACAGCATCAGAGATGAGACAGAGGAGTTCTTCTTTGTGAATTTGAGTGCATGGAAGTGTTGCAAGGGTATGGCTGTAAGACCAACTGAATCTTGGCGTGCTAATAAAGCAAACTCTACACAGTTTTTTCACAGGAGTGATGTGATCTTGTTTGAGGCTTTTTATGATGTGGGTAAGACCTCTGGTGTTAAAGTTTTAGAAGTCGCCATGTTTACCAGCAACCTTTCATGAAACACTACTGTGATTGTCGTGACAACGCACAAAATATAGCCAGTTTACAGGGTCACTTATTCAACTGTTACATCGACTTCGGCCTGGACCGTACATAAGCATTTTGTATTTAGCTACGGTAAAATTAACATTAAAACTTTAATACTATTCATCTATAAAATAATTATTTTGCCAATGGAAATTTTTCCTTTTTGTTTAATTGAATCTGTGATTTTTTTCAAACGTAAACGGTAACAATGGCATGGCTGAATGCTAGTGTTAGTTGTTAGCTGATCACATAATATGACCCAATCTCTCTTCTTATTAACTCCCTATGAAATAACCACAACAAAGGAGATTATAAAGGCTTGTACGAATTTCAATTTCAAACACGGTCATAATATATGATGTAAGTGTTCAAGTTGGCCACCCTGGTTCTGGTGCCACAAAATAATGGCCACTGTGGGAGTATGGTCCATCGGGGCTGTACTCTGATTTAAATCGAGGAGTTGAGACTAAACTTGGACTCTTGGTTTGGCTACTTAACTACATCACAACCTCCAGTGATGCTAACGATACCAGACACAAATAAACAGCTTGACGAAAAGTGATACAGAATTTCCAATGAGTATGCAAGATGTTGTATTTTTTAAGAGTTGTAACACAAAACTGATCAGTTAGAAAATAAAAGTTCAGTTTATCTTGCAAATTTGATATTTTATCCTATTGTAATTTTTTCCGTCCTTTTGTCCTTTACAACTACCTGATCCTAAAAGATTAGAGCTCCTGTGAGGACCTTCCTGTTTGTGTTGATTTTGGCGCCCCTTGTGGACACTCTTTGCTAATTTGTCCTGAGCATCTGAAATTCTTGTTTCTTGATCTAAAGTCTAATCCGGGTTCTACTTGAGAATCTTTTCTGTTATTTCTGCAAAAAGATACTTGCTCACAACCCTTTGCCAGAGGTTTCAAACATGAAAAATAACAATATAGAGAAAGTCACTCTTCTTGTTGATGGTCACAAAGAGGCATCTGTATTAATTTCAGTCCATTTTTAGGCAGCTTTAAACTCTTTACAGGAGCTTTAAGTCTGTGTATATTTAACATAGAGATATATACTGTAAGTCCATTTCAGCTCTTTGAGGTGGTCGTCTTGTTAAATCAGACATCAAAAACACGAACTGAGAAGAATTTGTTTCAGTGCATCTTTTAGTTCAAACACTCGTCTTTCCAGCTGTCTTACATGAACACCAGTCCCAGGTCTTCATCAGACTGAATGAGGTCAGGAGGATCAATACTCTTGTACTGGATCACTTTACTGTGCTATGAGTATAATGGGCTGATAGGTGCACGTTTGAACTGAGCAGGGGGCTGCATGGATGCATGAGCACGACTGTTAGCCTGCATGTCATTAACCCTCACACTTTCAATCAATATCAATGAAAAACTCAAGTTAGGCCTATCAGCGAGCTCACTTCAGAAGCATGCATCACTTCATTAAAACACTCATTAAAGTTTCTTTGGCCACATAAATTATAAGATATAGATCCAAATTTGCTCCTTAGGTTTTGATCTTATTCTAATACTTGTTCAGTCATCTAAGCAGCCGACCTCCTCTAGTCAATTAAAATGCGGACTAATCCTTTAAACCAGCATATGGATTCACATCATGGATCCAGAGATGCATAGCAAACAGAATAGGACCCCTTTCAGAGAGCATGATGCCAGTGTAATATCCCTGTTTAATTAACACCAGGAAGCTCTGCAGAGGGGCGCCTGGGGGCTGTTGGCAGGTAGGGTGGGCGTCTTGGCAGCCAGCTGATAACGCTCTCGTGCACTGGGGTCTGCACCAGAAGTCTTCTAGACAGCTCGGTGAACTCATCTCTCCCTCTCTCACCCCTCTGGGCCAGCACCCGTCTGGTCGGGGGGGCAGCAGGAGCAGGAGTGGCATCAGGCCAGAGTCAGCAGCCGCAGCATTCATTTTTTTCCTTTTTTCTTTCCTCCTCCACCACAGCCCAACATGAGCTGAGAACACGTGAGGGAGAAATCTCTGTATCTCTGTGAAAGGAGGAGGGGGGGAGCTTGAAAGGAAGATGGAGACAGAGATAGGGAGATAAGTGGAGGAGATAAGAAATAAATAATAAAAAGAGTGTTTGCTATGGGAGGCTCTTAGAAGAGCAGCGCACCTTTAAGGGGACGTGCAGTTGCTTTTCTTCCAATGCAGCACTCTGTAAACTTGACTGAAAATTTAAAAGCGATGTTGGACCACCTCTGTCTCACTGTCGCTCTCTTAAAAGCGATGTTCTGAAATACCCATGACAGGCCTTTTTTGTTTTTGAAAGGTGTTAAAAAGCCTCTCTAGTCACAAGAGGATGCCCACCACCACCACAGCTGCCGCCGCCGCCACCACCATCACTGTTCCCACCATCTCGACTCTGCTTGTTAGTGTGATCACTGTCCCTTTGGTGGCTCTCTGCACATAATACATCTTCTCACTGCAATTAACTGCTGCAGGGCCTGTGTAGGAACTTAGAGGGATGTCCCCTCTGCAGAGCTGCTCTCCCTGGGGATTTGATGTAGGGGAGAGATGGAAAGGAAATATGAAGGTGCGAGGAGAGGAAGGGAAAGCGGGAGGAGAAAGAGAGAGCGGGAATGCGGCGTGCCAAAGCTTCCCACCCACCGCTCGTGTCTGTAATCTCTCGGGGAAGGGCTATATCAGGGAAAGAGCTGTTGTGTTAGGAGAAGTGCTGACAGCTTCGTCTCTTCTGCCCCCTACTGCAGAGGAAGTGTTGATGGTTTCAAAGAGAGGGGGAGAGGAGCGGCGTGGATGTCGGCTTTTCAAGTCTGTTTCTCAGCAGTGATAAAAGTGTGTACCTCTCACCTCACATTTACTTTACTAGGATGCATGAATCTGTGGATTAAAATGACTATCTGACTCCTGCATGGATGAGTCTGATTGAAGTAAATCAACTGCAAGGACGAGGTTGTTGATCGATACAAATTTTCCACATTTTAAGAGACATTTCTTCCAAGTTTGAAACGGCCACTTATGAAAGCAAAGCATCTCAGAAAGATGTTGCTGCTTTCTCCTTTTTGTCGTGGCAGCAGCAAAAATCAGTGTCATTCTGGTATTGATATAAAACATTGTGTTAAAGGAATTAAAAGATATGTCCTTAACCTTTGAACCATTTCTTCTTTTATCAAGCCAAAACATTCATATGCTGTTCAAAAAAATCAATCTTAGTCTTACTGAGGCTGGACTTTTGAAAAACATGTAAACAGAATAGTCCAACTGAAATCGCTCTAAATCAACACTCTCACAGTCGGACTGACGTACCAAAGTAATACAGTTAAGGATCGATCACCTCAATCACATTTACAGCTCTGAAACTGGCTCTGCACGTGCTCGAATGTTTGCACACCAGTAAGTTAGTGAACAAAAACCTCAACAGTCAAATAAACAAGATTAAACTTTCCCATCTTAGAAAAAATAAACAGTAAAAAGCTGTAAAAGTGATGGTATTTTCACCATTCAACTTGCCTCCCCTTAACCTTGTGCAAACAGGTAATGTAATAAGTCAACCAGGAGAGGACCCAATAGGAATGAGCTGTAAGGGGGCATATTGCCACCTACTGCAGTGGAAGAGGTGGAGCGGTCAATAATTTTAAAACTTGATCAATCTCCCAATCAATCGACTGAGTTTTTATCACTACGAGTGTATTTTTAGCTCATCGTGAAGAAAAATAGGATGTTAACAAGCTCACAATTTTCCATCAACAAACTGAGCACTATTTCCTGAGCTGCTGTGTTTATAAAGGCCATGTCAGCACATATTTTCAAGATTATTTCATGTTTTCACTGCCCTTGTTGAGAGGGCAGGGCAGCAGATAGAGTCAGAAACAGGGACAAGAGAGTGAGGGATACAGCAACTGACCAAGGATGGAAATCAAGCCTGAGGCGGAGGCTCCCAGGGCTGTCGCCTCTTCACACGGGGCTTAGGATGTAACCACTGAGCTAAACAGGTGCCCCGAAAAGCATGAATGTTTGATTTACCTCCTAGTTTGAATGATGGGCTTTCACATGAACACAGTGTATCCAGAGAAATGTCTGGGTACTTTTCTTTACGCTCGTCTCGCTGCTCTGAAGTAGGTGAAAGTGATTAATAAAAGTCAAGTGCACCTGAATCATCTGACTCTGTTATTATGTGGAAGTAACTCTCAGTGACAGCAGGCGGGTGTTTTGGTCACTGTCAATCAAATGGGGCAGTGTCAATCAAATCAATCCAAACCTTTAAGGCACAGTGGAGCTATTGACAAATCACACCTCATGCTGCTTTTTTAATCGTTCCTGCCTGAATTAGTTGTGAATGTTTTATAGTTTCAGACCTAGAGACCTTTTCCTCCAGTGCAACTGCAACATTTCTAATTGAGTTATGTATTTAGCTGTTACAAAAAACATTAAGATAAGATTGGCATATACTGGCATGTACAGGATAAAAATCAACAAAGATCACTTAGGATTCAGCCGATAACAAAGCATAGCAATAAACAAAAGGTTCCTTACAGGAGCTTTAAAGTCTTAAAGACTAATACTGGTTATATGGTAAGAGGTTGATTTGTCAAACATAAAGATTCTTGACATCAAAAGAAAATATTGTTTTTGTTGGCCAGGAAGAAAATTTCTAACTCAGGATTTGTTTGCAGGGCGTGACTGATGTAAACCAGTCTCCATTACAAAGCTGTACAAATAAAACCAACTTGGCTTAAAAAAAGTTAAAAACTTAACAATCAATCACTTTTTTTGTATAATGCAAAATCATAACAAAAATCATCCGGAGATACTTGGAACCCCTGTGAGGAAACTTCATCTTGGGTCAATTCTGGCACCCCCTCTGAACAGAGCAGAACCCCTCATCTCTGTACGAATTTACAGGGTGATTTTTAACTTAAAAAAATCCTGCCCTATTAGTTTTTCATGTAAACTATATTAAAGTGGACTCCATCAGTGATCAGTGACTGTGGAGCAAAAACAGTTGGAGCTCCCCCTACTGACTGGCTGCAGTATAAAGCCCCATTAAACCCCACTTTCTCCATGTTAACAGATGGCACAAATGTCATATGTTGAAATTAATACACACATCACCCAAAGTTTACATATATATATATATATATATATATATATATATATATATATATATATATATATATATATGTGTGTGTGTGTGTGTGTGTGTGCGTGTGTGTGAGTGTTTTTAAATGAGGACGTTTTTTTATACACAACACTTCAGTCAAGGCCACTTTCATCAAATTTGCAAGCATTAGTTTCTTTTTCTTTTTCTTTCTTTTCTTTTTTTATTAAATGACTCTCCTTTGAGAGTTTTCTGCCCTTCCACTTTTGTCTGAGAAATACCAAAGCCTGATACACGCATTAAAGCCAAGGGAGGCAGAGCAGCAGCAAAGACTCCTATCAGAGCAGGCAATACATATGACACTAGAGGAGCCGAGGTGGAGGAGAGGTTGCAGAGTGAAAGCAGTTTAACCCTTATTTTCTGTTTGTACCCTTTGTTCTTGGGTCAAAAATAGACTAGACCTGACTAGACCACATGAGATGTAAACATTGAGTTTACAAATAGATTCCCTGACCATTTATCTAAGGAAGTAGACAGTGTTCATATAACAGTAACAGCATGGCCATATTATTTTTTAATACAGTGATAGCTTCATCTGCAAATGAAAACCTCTGAAATAAGACAGTCTCTTCCAGCTAAAATCAAGAAAGACCCAAAAATGTGGAAAACATCGAGTTTGAACCATGTTTGACACTGACTGAAGGCTTTGGCAAAGACAGAAGCAGGTGTGCACTCATTAGCTCCACTTTTATAACAGCCGAACCTCTTTGAAGGTATCCTCCACTGGTAAATGACACTTTGAAGAATATTTCATACTGTCTGAAATAAAGTTTATTTTACTGGTGAACTCTTTGAACTCTGAGCATAAGTGGGGTCACAGAGAAGGTGAAGTTACACCTGTGCTGCAATATTTCATTTTTTCTGGGTTCAGTCTGCATCACACACAATGCCGGTTTGTCATTTGTGTATGTATGTTTGACTTTTCCAATGTTCAGGTCATTCCGGTAAAGTGTTGATCTAGTTCATGAAAATAGAGTCCAAACTAAATCATCTGAACAAGGTAAAAATTCAGATATTACACAATTTGCTGTTTTTAACCAAGCAACAGGATCGACAAATCCAAGGCGTTGCTGACTTGATTGACAAGCAGGCACACTGTCATTATTTGTGAGGAGGCTAAAGGCCCGCCCCCAGTTAGATGACCATTTGTATTACAAAGATGGTTATCCTCTGAGCTGTCAGCTGATCTGCAGATTTATGGCATGTTTTGCATGACTTTGTGGCCTGCCTGAACAAACACTCTGCTTAATTCTGCACTAAAATGTGAGAAAACTGACCTTATATAAAACTTTTAACAAAAGCAGCAGAAGACACAGTTTGTTGTTCTGCACTGTGATTCTCCTGTCTGGCGTTTATGGGCCTCTATCAGGTTAATTTTCACAAAGCAATAACACACATTCTCCGTTTTATATTCTCTTCTAAAGTCAATTCAACAGCTAACACAATCAAATAAAAACCATTTTAGCTGCTACTTCTTATTCAGTGCTTGTGCTTAAAGAAAGTGGCTCCACAGTTGAGAAACCTAACAAAGGTAAATAAAGATCAGGGGGTGTTTGCGAAACCAGGGGCTGATGTTTTCCAGCAGGGGCGGGTTTCATCGGGGGATTAACAAGTGTGCTGACAAAATTGACAACTTAATATACGTGCCTTTGCTCAAAAGGTATTCTTTTCTGACATATGCTTCTCACCAGCTGTTGACTTATCTCATGGGCCGACTGTGCTGAAAATCAAACTCCCATTTCGTTCCTAATAGCTGCGACAAAATCATTAACTTTAATATCTTTATTTAGCTGCTTTCTTTCCTTTATGATGCACATGCTCTTAATCTGGCTCCACAGTCATACATAATGTATGCAGAGACATCTAATGCAGGAAGTCGCCATGGAATACACGTTTGCAAATTAGAACAATAGAGTAGCGCTGTGCTTATCTACACAGGGTGGTTTAACAATAGTTCGGCTCGACTTTGTGAAGGTTAAAATATAAGCCCTTCTCCCTCACCCCCTCCCATGCTTCAGCAGCCAATGGTGAACATCCACAAGGGGGGTGCAGCGATCTCGCCTTGCAGTCCTGCAGAATATTGGCTGTCAAGAAACGGACATGCAATCAATCATGAGCAAAGTCACAGGCGATGTGAAGGATACCAGTCCTTCTCAAGCCTGGTGGTTGTGACAAGGCAGCGGAGGCAAAACGGCCCCACTGCAGCGCTGTAGGTTGAGATTAATGGGACTTGAGTATTTACTTTAAAGGGCACTAGATAAAAAGTGTCGAACCCTCTGTGAAGGGTAACAGATTGAAATGCAGAGGGGAAAAAGGCGGCCTCGATCACCTGCACCTCTGCAGAGGAGATTAACAGCGGAGATAGTGTAGAAACAAAACCAAGTGCTCAGCCTCTAATGGACTCAACTTCTTGGCATGTTTTCAGGATCATGCCTCATGTTTTATCACTCTTTCTACTCCCCCTCTTGAGAGTTTGGCATTGTCTAAAGTGTAACATGAAAAATGGCATCTGCTGCTGGCGGAGTCCCCTGTGTATGTTTGTTCTTTCCACTGGAGTCCACATCCAAAGTCTTCTGTGGGTGCCTTTGGAGTCTCTTTCTTTCTCTTGTAACTTTGACAAACCAATTCCCCTATTTGAAATTCTCTTAAAGTCTGAGAAAAAGCATCTAAAG